TTGTCTCTCTTCCCTGACAATTGGGAAATGGATCCCTCTGTATCACCCCATGGGAAGCTCTGAGCTTCCAGATGAGGAGGGGGAGAGTAGGAGGCAGGGTCCTGCACCTGGGCTGGAGAACTGCCTGTTAACAGAGGATGCTATGGAAAGGTCCCTTTTACATGGTTTTCTAGGGGAGGACCAGGGAGAGGTTAGGAAGGAGCAAGGATAGAGCAGAAAACAGCAACTAATGAAAGTCTGTGACAAATGGTAACTAAGAGGTTAGAGGGAAGGTGGAGCTTGGGGCACATTTGAGGAGAGGTGTCTCATTTTTCAAATCTGTTGTTGCATAGAAAATGACAGAAAGCAAGCAATCTTTGGAGTGTTGTGTTAGGGGGAAAAAAAATAATGGGAAGAAAAAGGTTTTCAGCCCCTCTTTGGGGAAGGGGACCCCTTGCAGGCTTCTGCAGAGAGCTGGCACCTGCTGGGCTGGGTGCTGTGGGTGCACAGAGCAGCTCTGGTGTCAGACCTGAGCAGTCAGTGCTTCCTCCCGTGTTTGCTGGACTGCTTTAGATAGGATCATGGAGGCTAGGCACCACGTTGTAGTTTTTAGAGCTTGTAGAGAGGGAGAATAGTAGGAAGGGCTCTTTTTTTTTTTTTTTTTTTTTCCCCTTAGCCATCATTTCCAGCATGGCAAGTGGAAGCCTGCAATCTCCTGCTGTCCCTCGGAGACATCTCCTTTTTGGCTGTTTTGTGCTGAATCCCTGTTCACTGTGCTTCAAGTTATCTTGATGCTTTACTTTTATTTTCCATCCTGTGCAAACCCCTCCCTTTTAGGTTGAGGCTCCAGTTCCTTATGCTGTTTTTGTGGTTGTTAGGGTGGTCTCCTCTTTCCTCCCTCACTCCTTCTAATTATGTAAGTTGTCTTTACTCTTCATACTTTTCTTTCCCCTGTTCTTTATTCACCTACCCACACCTGTTTCTCTTCTCTTTTCCTGTTTTGCATGCAGCCCCTTTCCTCTCCTCTATTCTTTCCCACCCTGATCTTCAGTGCTCTGCACCAGGTAGCCTGTGTTCCCATTGCAAATCTTGCTCTGTAACGTTTCTTACATGAAACCAAGATATCCTTGGTGCATTTTCAGCCATTCCTCTCTTCCTGTACCAGACTCTGTCTCTCCCTGCCACCTGAGTGGAGTGTAAATAATTAAATTTATCTAGATAGCTCTTCTCCCCCCATGTGCCTGACTCTTGCCCCAAGGCAGCTACCAGCCAGGAGGTGGCTGAGCAGTTGCTTCCCTTTGAGGCAGACATCCCTGGGCTAACAGGGGGGTCTTGCCATCAGCCTTTCCAGAGGGTCAGCATCCCTTCCAAAGCAGGCAGGCACCACCAGAATGCCAGAGGCTGGCGTTGTCCCCAGGCTGCCTGCAGAGCTGCTGTCAGTGTCTTGCAGGTTTGCATGTTCAGCATCGTAACCCAAATATGATAAAAATTATGTGGATTCCAGTTCGTTTATCAACTGTCTGAACTAAATGAAAAGCCAAACTTCTCATAGTACCCGACTGCCAAAAACTCCTGGCTTGAGACAGATCTCCAAGACATGATCTCTCCTCAAGCCTCACATGAGGGAGGAAAAGGAGGCGGCTGCTGCCCTGCTCCTCCCCTTACCTCTACTTTTTGGAACCTCCCTCTCGCTATGAATAACTTCAGTGTCTGCCACTGGTGCCGGGCAGAGCTTTGCCAATAAAAACAGGAAATGGACATGATTTTGATAGTGTCACTCTACCACACACGAGATGCTGAATAGCAGCAAGAAAACTGAGCAGTTTTGTTAATCTCGCTGGTGTTTGGCAACCTCTCAGCAGCAGCCACAGAGGCACTACAGCTGTCTGTCTGCAGCCCCAGGAATACAATGCTGCATTATTTTATTTTCGGCAGATCATCTTTCCAATCATAAGGTCTGGAATGTTTTATATATTTACTTCTTCGTGAGGAAAGCTTCGTACTGTCACTAATCAACAGATTTTTCAAGACCTGCTGTCTTGTGTGTTACAGAGGTAAATGAATTGATACTTACAAACCACTTTGGGGTCCAAAGGAGGAAACAGAAAATACTGTGTGTAGGTTTTGGAAAGGGCCTTGGAATAAGTGACATGGTATGGTGTCAGTCTCAGTGATGCAAGTCCAACCACATCCTCCATCCAAATCCTCCTGAAGGCTCACTTTTTTCCATTTGATGTTCATGGATGTTAACTCATATTGATCCTGTTCTCTTTTCTCCAATGTTATTTTGGTGGAGAAAAAGAGAATAAAATAATAAGCATAATGCAGAAAAGATGAGATGTCATTCTAGCGCTGTGTCCCTTAGAGTGCTCTACTTTATCTGTCTCATACATAACACACATTTGAAATTATAGCAATGTACTGGAGTTGTTATCCTTTAATGTGTCCAGCACTGAGCTCTTGTTTCTTTTCTATCTTCTTGTGTTTGTTTAGCATTAGTACTGTGCCTAAGTTGGGTGATTATGCATAAATCCTGTGCCAGGTGACTTGAAAACATTAGTTCCCCCTTTGGAGTATTTGCCATCCAAATCAGAGAGAGCAGGTGCCATGAGGCAGAGCAGCAGCAGTGAGTTTGGGCAGCATGGAAGGTGACAGTGGCGGCTTTCTGACAGCGCAGCTCTTGTCCAGGTTCCTCAGGACATGAAGAGGAGATGGCCGAGGTGCTGTGTCCACCAGCAGTGCAGCCCTTCCCCATTGCTGCCAGCAGCAGCACCACTTCTGTGTGTTATTTATATTCTGCTCCTGCACCAGCCCAGCTGCCCCTCAGGGTACCTCCACCCAAAGTGGTGACTCCAGCCCCATGAAACAGTGAGTGGGTTATTCTGGAGAAGCAGCTCAGCCTGGATTGGTGGCCGTGGGAGAAGAAGCTGCTCTGTGGCTACAGCTGGGATGTAGCTCTTTGCCCAGTGGTGGCTACCAAGTCTCTAGTACTGGATGTGTTGCTGTGCCCAGGTAGAGAGCCAGGAGGTGGGATGATGTCACTGACCCAGCTCAGGAAACAGAGTGGGTGAATGGTGGTTTGGCAGAGAATGGGCAGAGGATGAATTTAACTCAGAATTGCGGCTACTGGCCTCAGGATGAGCCCATGTAATGAAAGACACTATTGCAAAATACTGTTGAAACAAAGGTCTCCTGGTTCCTTCTCAGGAGGGAAATGAGGTGTGAGGTATATTGGTACATGGAAAAGCAGTTGTGAGAGAAGGGGAAGAAAAGCCAAATGAGGATGGCACTGACCTGAGAGCTGCCAATACCTCACTGCAGTAAGAGGGTACAGGGAATACTTGTGCTGGAAGGAGTGGAAAGAAGTGTGTGGGGAAGAGCTGGCAGCACAGTGGCACGTGCCTGAGACCCTGAGATACCCTTCTGGAATGAGGGGACTTGTAGAAACTGCCACCAGAGATTTTGTGCACTGTTCTGATACACCACAGATGCAAACAAGTGCCTGTCTCAGAGCGATGCACAGTGCTGTCAGAAGAGGCTACAACTCTCCTCTGACTCCAGCTTTACAGGTATTTCATTTGTTCCTCGCCGAGTTTCTCCAGCCACCGGGGCCAGGTTGCCCAAGAGCAGAGGCAGAGAGTGCACAGACCTGCTCCAGGAGCCATCAGTAGCTGGATGAACTTGTGTGGCAGTGGAGAGAGGCTGGAGGTTGGCGGGACTCTGTCCGTCTGGATGAGCAAGAACCCACGCGGTGACTTGGGGGCCAGCCCGGCCACCCTCCCCGGTGAGTGGCAGGCGGAGGCGAGTGCAGGCTGGGCTGTGCGTCCCGGGGCTCTGCTGTCGTGCCCAGCAGGCAGCTTTGCTCGGGGCCCACCGGCCGGTGCAGCCCGGGCAGGGCAACGGCGGGGCCCGCGGCCCCTGACCCCCGCGGGGGCACGGAGGGAGCAGGGTCCGGGAAGG